TTTTGTAAAGACTACCTCAGGACGTGGATTGCGCATTCAGTGCCTTAGCATTGACTCCTATAGGAAGCTTATTCATCATTTTGAAGACATAAACCTAGAATCTCATACTTTTCAAATCAAGTCTGAGCGTGGATTCAGAATTCTTATTAGACATTTACATCGAAGTACACCAATTGAGTGGATCAAAGAGGAGCTTGCTAAACTGGGGCATACAGTTCGATATGCAAATAACATCAAAAAAAGGTTCTCTGGTCAGCCACTTGACTTATTTGAAGTTGAAATTGAGTCTAAACCCAACAATAGTGGTATATTGGATACTACCTTGCTGGGCCATCAGAAGGTCAAGATAGAGAAATCACTGCATAACATAGATGCTGTGCAATGTCATCGTTGTCAAAAGTTTGGACACACTAAAAACTATTGCCGCAGACCTTTTGTTTGTGTAAAAGTGTGGTATGAATCATCCTTCAACGGATTGTCCACGTCAGAAAGGCAGCTTGAGCCAACCGCCAAAGTGTGCGAATTGCCTTGGAGAGCATGTCGCCAGCTATAAAGGTTGCAAGTCCTTTAAGGAAGCTTGCAAGATCAAAGAATCTTCAAAAACGCAGCAAGCAAATAAACTTGTAGTTGATTTGTTACGTCAAAATATCGTTGGCAATAATGCTGCTATCGCTAAAGTGGTAAATAAGCATATTACCAAGTCGAAGCCAAGCAATTCTGCTCAATCGCCAAAAGCAATCTATACAGCAAGTGCTCAGAAGTCATGAAGCTCAGTTACAGAAACAAAAGCATACTCATGAGCCATCAAAGAAAACTGGAGACTTACTGGGGCAAGCAAAACAGCAGGTAAGCAAAAAGATCACTGGTGTCCAAGAAGGGTCTAGTTATGCTGATGCGCTGAAAATGGGCGTATAAGCAACGGGATCAACTGCTAACGTATTCCTGGTCAGCGGCTAGTGCAGCGTCAGCAACAGATCAAGCCATTGCCTTTAGTTTCGAATAATCGGGAACAGCGGCTACCTCGGCGATTAAATGATAGTCAAGAACATGTTGATGATCATCATGCCAGTCAAAGACTCAGAAATCGTAGCCGTAGTAACGTTCGGTTAACTGTCAATAATGATAATGATATCAAATCATTAAATGATAAATTGGACACATTGATCAGCTTAATGCTTGATGATCGTAAGCGGCCAAATCCTGTAGATAACAGCAACCTTGAAAAACTCAATGCAAAATTGGATAATCTAGTCACTATGCTTACCATGCTAACTAGATGCATGATGGCAAAGCATGTCAATGACACATCTATTAATGAATAGTTCTACTGTACACTGTAACTCATTAAGAATTCTGGTATGGAATGCAGCTGGCCTACATAACAAACTGGGAAATTTAATTGAATACGTCAAGCATAATGATATTGATATTATATTACTTTCAGAAACACGACTAAATAGTAATGACTTACTCAAGATAAATGGATATCATACTTACTTAGCAAATCATTTATCAAATCGACGTAAAGGAGGAGCTGCCTTAATTATTAAACATGGTATTCGACACAACCCATCTGTGAAAGTCAATACTGAGCTTGTTCAATGCGTTACAGCCACTATCTTTCTGCCAAATAATTTTCAATTTAATTTGTCCTCTTTGTATTGTCCACCTCAACTATCCTGGCAATATGACGATTTCACTAACCTTTTACAAAGTAATGGCAACAGATTCCTTACAGCTGGTGATTGGAATGCAAAAAGTAGCTGGTGGGGTAATGCTAGATCATGTACTAGAGGAAGTACTTTGCTAAAAGTTATTCAAGAGAGTAAATATAATCTACTGGCTACAGGCTCGTCAACTCATTTCCCGTATGATATGCGATCATCACCATCTGCTATTGACTTTGCCATTTATGCAGGAATTAATTCTGATTTGTTAAGTATACAAGTTGCCGGCGCAGATGAATTAATATCTGATCATCTACCGCTCTTGATAAAATTAGCTCTGGACAAGACACAGATCGTAAACAGAAGAATGGGCAGCTATCTTCTTCCGAAGAATGCTAATATTCCAACGTTTCAAAAAGATTAAATGATTGCATTCTGCTAAATACTGAAATCAAGAATAGTGAAGATGTTGAAGATGCTGCTGCAATATTTGAGCAAAATGTCATTGACGCTGCTATGCATGCAGCTAATATGATTCCCAATACTAGGCATGACCGTGGGCACATTAGCAACAACGGCACCAAATTAAGCTATTATGTCCTAGTTATGATTAAGGGAAGGAAACTTATAAAAAGATACCTGAAAAATCATCGTGATCGGGCTGCTAAACTGGTGCTCAACAGATTGACCAGAGCAATCAAAATTGCCATTAAGGAAGCTAAAAACAGAAATATAGATAGGTTAATCAATCATATTGATCCTAACGATAGATATTGCATGAAGAAGTTATGGCGAGTCACAAATTTGGTAAAAAAGCAACCGATTACTGACTTACCGCTTAAAAGATTTGTTGATGTAGATCACACAGCTGTGAACGAAAGACATGCTATTTGGTGTAAAACCTCTGAGGAGAAAGCAGAATCTTTTGCTCTTCATCTTGAAGGACGGTTCCGGCCTAACATAACCTGCAGTCAAGAGGATAAAGAGGACATTGAATCTCAATGCTTGCCAGATTTAGACAGTGGTAGCTTGCCTCCTGTGCAATTTCGACCTATACTTGTTCAGGAAGTTATGACCATAATCAATGATCTTCAAATTAAGAAGTCTCCTGGGTTAGACTTCATTGATAACTGGACACTCAAAGCACTTCCTCTAAAGGCACTGCTGTATTTAACTCTTATATTCAACAGTGCGCTCAGATTTGGACACTTTCCCAGCCGATGGAAATGCGCAAGAGTCAGAATGATAGTTAAACCTGGTAAGCCAGCCCATGAGCTGACTTCCTACAGGCCAATCAGCTTACTCTCAGGGCTATCCAAAATCCTTGAGAAGTTAATTATGAATAGGCTATTTGAGGTGGAGGCGTTTTGTAAGGCAATGCCTGATCACCAATTTGGCTTTCGTAGTCGGCATTCCACAGAACAGCAACTTGGTCGTGTCACTCAATTCATTATGGAAGCTTTTGAAGATAATTATTTCTGCTCAGCCGTCTATCTGGACATTTCTGAAGCTTTTGATCGTGTCTGGCACCCAGGGCTTCTATACAAGCTAAAGAAGTTACTACCAAATGTACTATTTAACATCCTACATAGTTATCTCAAAAATCGTACATTTATAGTGGAGTGTTTCGATGGCACACGATCAAGTGTTAAACAAATCGCTGCTGGTGTTCCACAAGGGAGGCGTTTTGAGCCCAATTCTGTATAATTTCTACACTGCGGACATGCCACTACCAGCCATATCCAGCGTTCGACGTCCAACTGCACGCATGATGCTAGGAACATATGCTGATGACACTGCAATTCTCTCGAGCAATATTAGTTTGACACATGCTGTACAACACCTTAATCATTATCTCAACACATTTCACGAATGGACCAAAAAATGGTGTATCAAACTCAACTATTCCAAAACAGTTCATGTGATACATTCAATTCGACAAGTACAATATGATCATCAAAGTGTTGTCACAATTGCGGGTAATAATATTGACAACAAAACTAGCCATAGATATTTGGGCATACAGCTGGATAACAAACTGTTGTTAAAAACTCATATTAATAATATAATTGGCAAGCTTAGAACGAGAACTAAAGAGTTAAAGTGGATAATTGGAGCTAGAAGTAAGCTGCCACTAAAACTTAAAATATTACTATATAAGCTGCTTATTGCGCCGATTTGGCAATATGCTCTTCCTATATGGGGCGCGCTGATATGCGAGACCAGATTTAATAAGCTGCAAGTAGCACAAAATAAAATACTTAGAGAAATAACAGGTGCACCGTGGTATGTCAGTAATAACACACTTCATATAGATCTGCAAGTAGACACTGTTGAAAGCATCTATAATAAACTGTGTTATAAATATGTGAGCCGGCTTCTTGCTCATCCCAATCCTGAGGCAAGACGAATTGGTAACTACCCGTGCATTCCGCAACGGCTGAAGTGGAAGCGTTACTCCGTGATGCTCAACAATCACTTGCAATCAAACATATTTAAGCGGAAATGGGAACTATTACAGGCCAAGCAGAGACGGGCACATGGTTGCATATATGTTGCTACTATCCCTTCTAAAAATGCAGTTTCTACTTTTAATCATCCTGTTAACTTAAATCGGAACTTCAACTCATATCAGAATATCAATTTTAGGCGGGACGATAGTTTCAGGCAAGATACTGGCTCCAGTCAAAATAATGGTTTCAATCAGGTCGATGGCTCCAGACAAAATTCCATTCCCAGTCGAAATATTGGCTCTAGTCGAGATGTCAATCTTATTCAAATCGACGGTTCCAGACAGGATCCTGGCTCCAGTTAAAATACTGGTTCTTCCATACAGAATCCCAAACAGGATGCCAGTCCCGGAAGAGATGACGTTTCCTGGCCGGATGCAATTCTTAATCAAGATATCTATACATTCACTAAAACATAATCAAACTACTTTTGTATTTCACTTCACATTTAATGTAACACTCACATTTGAGATCTACACACAGTAGGCGTCAACAAATTCACACAAAATTAATCAAACTACTTTTGTATGTCACTTCACATCTAATGTAACACTCACATTTGAGATCTACACACAGTAGGCGTCAACAAATTTACACAAAATTAATCAAACTACTTTTGTATGTCACTTCACATTTAATGTAACACTCACATTTGAGACCTACACACAGTAGGCGTCAACAAATTTACTATATTATACAGTAGTATAGCAGTAAATAAATAAATATAGTCAGTCAGTCTACGGCACAGCCTCGAGCAGACGTGACTATTCAACAAAAAAAAAAAAAAAAAAAAAAAAAATAATAAAAAAAAAAAAAAGAATTAACTAAAAACTAACTTAAATATCCGCCCTATTGGCTGTGCAGCCCACTTGGCTAAATCTCCTTGCCGCAGTTGATGTGCTCTGCAAAGAAAAAATCAACATTAATAATCTTTTAATGTTTTTATTAACTTCTGCAAAATTAACTTACCTGCTAGTCAGCTTGCAATTAATGCAGTTCTGCTATCTCGGTTTTGCGCCCCTCTGCACTTTATATGGCAGCAGCTGTATACATAAAAGATAATAATTAATTAGTATTAATTATTAATATCATTAACTTCACTTTTATAATCCATAATTGTTAACTTTTATTCACTTTTGCAAAACTCACTTACCTGCTAGTCAGCTTGCAGTTAATGCAATTTCGCTATCTTCAATATCTGCGCTCCTCTGCATTTCGTATAATAGCAGCTATATATATGAAAAGACAGTAATTAATTAATATTAATTATTAATATCATTAATTTCACTTATTTATCTATTAATTTTTACACTTACCAATTGGCAGCATAAAATTTGCATGTAATGCAATTCCCAATCAGCTGTTTTTTGTTTTTGTTTTGATTATGCACTCCGATAGGCACAATGCCAGGGGTGCATCGTCACTTACTCAGTTACTCTTGCGATATATCGAATGAATATTAATGAAATCAAAACTGCCAAAATGAATTGTTAAACTATTTTTATTTAATTATCTATATTAATTATCATAAACATTTTGTAATTTAAGTTAAATTTAGCTTAAGCCCATGTTGGAGAAAATGACCAGACTTTGTCTCGACTTTTCTCTATTATTCCAATTGGCCACTTTGGGCTATTTTCTCTGTGCATCTTGTAGATGCTTTTTAATGAAAAAACTGAATTATATTAATTAATGCCATCTATTACTATTGTTAAACTTATATATTACTTATCTATTTAGTCGTTTATTAGTTACTCAAGCACTTTATTGTTATTTTGAATTATCTTTAATTTGCTCTTTTTATTAGTATTTTGTAACATTAAGCTGCACTGTTATTTTTATGCACTTATGGCCATTTAAATTTAATCATTTAATGAAAAGTTTCGACAAATATAGTCCTTTTTAGATTTTAATTATATCATAGGCGCTATTTATATTTATAAAAAAATGCTATTGTGAAGTATTAAATAAATAAAGAGTATCCCCGTACTCTTCCCCTCATCATGCAGCTGCAGGTCAGCTGTTCATGTACGAGAATGGGAAGAGGCGGAGATCACTAATGTGTGTTCTTTGTAGACATACGAACAGAAAAAACGACTCGCATCAATCTGTCGAAGTCTCAGTCAGCCTGCAAAATGGCCGTCACATTAATATTGTTTCAATCTACTGCCCGCCGCAAGTTATCTGGTCTGGGCAAGATTTCAACAACCTGCTATCTTCTCTGGGTGACACTTTTATAGTCGGTGGTGACTGGAATGCGAAAAGTCAGTGGTGGGGCAACGCCAGATCTTGTCTCCGTGGCCGAACGCTAGTCAATAGTATTCTACAAGTGAATTGCAACATTCTGGCAACTGGGTCGCCCACCCATTTTCCGTTTAATTCACGCCAAACTCCGTCTGCCATTGACTTTGCGCTTTTTAAAGGCATCAGGCGAGATTTGCTGGCCATCACTGACTCTTTCGAGCTTAGCTCTGATCATCTCCCGTTGCAAGTCCAGCTGGTTGAGAAGCCTGTCACCAGCAGAGCAAAAGGCCACTTGCTAGATTTGAATGCTAACATCAACAAATTTCAGAGCTATCTAAATGACAAAATTTTGCTCAACACTGAGATCAACAGTGCAGACGATATTGATGATGCGGTGAATATTTTTGTCCGAAACATTGAAGATGCTGCAAACTATGCGAATGCACAGCACCCACGCAAAATAACGAGGGACTAGATTTCGCGTAGATAGACAGACTCTGCAACTCATCGACGCCCATAAGCAAGTCAAGCGCTATCTCACACGCAATCGCAATCCGATCCTCAAGATGCTCTGCAACAGGCTGTCGAATCGCATACGCAAAGAGCTCATATATGCTAGGCAGAAGTATGAGGAAGAGCTATTTAGATCTATCGATCCAACTGATAGATATAGTATGCAGAAGCTCTGGCGACTGACCAACGAGATCAAGCGGCAGCCTGCCCCAAATCTACCGCTATTGAAGTCCTCCAGCGGCAATGGCTCTAATGCGCAAAACGTCTGGTGCAAGACAACTGCCGAAAAGGCCGAAACGTTTGCTGCAAGTCTTGAGCAGCGTTTTCAACCTATTGTGACTACGCCACCCAGTGTTCTGGCTGAAATCGAGGCTCAAGTTAGCCAGCCATCTTCGACTGCTTCAGTCTCATTTCGGCCAGTCACTGCGGCTGAAGTCATCAGTCACATCAGCACGCTAGAGAACATAAAAGCTGCTGGATTGGATCAAATTGATAATCACACTATTAAAGCGCTGCCATTGAAGGCCGTGTTGTATCTTGTGCTCATTTGCAACAACTCACTACGACTGAGTCATTTCCCCTCGAGCTGGAAGCTAGCTGTGGTGAAGATGGTGCATAAGCCTGGCAAGCCTACGCACCATGTTGCATCATACAGGCCAATAAGTCTGCTGTCTGGCCTCTCTAAGATACTTGAGTATCTGATTTTGAGCCGTATGCTGGAGCAAGATACTCTTGTAAATGCGATTCCAAATCATCAATTTGGATTCCGCAAGGCGCATTCAGCTGAGCAGCAATTGGGTCGAGTTACTCAATTTATTATTAAAGCGTTTGATGACCGCAAATACTGCTCTGCTGTCTATATGGATATCAAGGAAGCCTTTGATCGAGTGTGGCATACAGGCTTGAAATATAAGCTCAAGATGATATTGCCGGATGCTCTCTACCGCATCCTCTGCTGCTATTTAGTTGATCGGACGTTTATTGTTGAGTGTCACGGTGGCTGTCGCTCAGGTATTAAGCAAATTCACGCTGGTGTGCCTCAAGGTAGCTTGCTCGGGCCTATCTTGTATAATATATACACCAGCGACATACCAAGGCCAACTCGCCTACGTGGGATATTGATTGCCACTTATGCTGACGACGTCATCGTTCTTTCGGCTGACTCTCGACAAGCAGTCGCGCTCAGCCAGCAGCAGGCGTATATGGATAGTTTGGCTGAATGGGCGAGCAAGTGGTGCATTACAATTAATGCAAACAAGACTATGCATATCATGCATACGCTTAGAGTTATAGCGCCATATCAGGCTATTCGCATTGGCAACGAAACCATTGAAAATGGCACTTCTCATTCATATTTGGGTGTTACTCTAGATACGAAACTGCGCTTCTCACAACATGTCACTACGGTCGTTACTAGGGTCAGGGCTAGGCTTAAAAAGATAGATTGGCTCATTAACAAAGATAGCAAATTGACGCTGAGAACAAAAGTCATTATTTACAAACAGCTAGTTGCTCCACTTTGGCAATACTCGCTGCCTGTATGGGGAGCTCTGATATCTGAGGCGCAATTCAGCCGCATACGAGTCGTACACAACAAAGCTCTGAGAGCTATTTCTGGTGCTCAGTACTTTGTTTCGAACGCGCGCATCAGAGCTGAGTTGCAAGTCCTGTCTGCGGATGATATATTCAACAATCTCTGCGCCAAATACTATGATCGACTCCGGGTCCATACCAACAACTTGGCCAAAAACATTGCCTATGACCCGTTCATCCCACAGCGGATAACATTGGCAAGATACACGAGTCTCGTAAACACGCATTTGGCCAATGACATTGCTCTACGCACCCAGCGACTACTACAACGGGAGGCCGATGAAATAGCTGAAAGTAGGGAGCGATTCCTTCGCCGACGGGAGGCTCAGCAACACAACGAAGCTGCACAAGCAGCAGCCCAACAGCCGCAACGACTACCTGTCTTCGAGGGTATTGCGCCAATGCCGCTGCCACTACCACCACCATCACCACTTGCTGCCTATAGGGTCCTATTTAGATCACATAGGGATCAGTCATAAAATTTGCATTTAATGCAATTTCCAATCAGCTGTCTTAACTTTTTGTAATTTAAGCTAATTTTAGCTCAAGCCCATACTTGAGAAAATGACCAGACTTTGTCTCGACTTTTCTCTTTTATTCCAATTGGCCACTTTGGGCTACTTTTCTCTGTGCATCTTGTAGATGCTTATTAATGAAATAATTGAATTATATTAATTAATGCTATCTATTACTATTGTTAAACTTAAACCTTACTTATCTATTTAGTCGTTAATCAGTTACCCAAGCACTTTATTGTTAATTTCTATTATCTTTAAATTGCTCTATTATAAGTATTTTGTAAAATTAAGCTGCACTGTTATTTTTGTGCACTTATGGCCATTTAAATTTAATCATTTAATGATAAGTTTCGATAAATATAGTCCTTTTTTAGATTTTAATTATCTCATAGGCGCTATTTATATTCATAAGAAATGCTATTGTGAAGTATTAATTGAATAAAAAGTATCTCCGTACTATCTTCCCCTCGCCATGCAGCTGCTGGTCAGCTGATCATGTATGAGATGCGAAGAAGCGGAGATCATCAATGTGTGTTCTCTTGTAACATACGAACAGAAAAAACCGCAACTCCAGCGAAAATCTTCGCAGAATGGCAGCGCGACGCAGAAATGAGGCTCGTCGCAACGGCGCGCCATCGTATGACGCAGTCCCACACACTCCCACCTCTGGGGCGATACAAAATATAGGTGACGCTACTGCCTCGCAGTCGCGCCTGCCAATCTTTCGGCAACTGGCGCCACTGCCACCCACAGCGAGCACTTCGCGCACACACAACACAAATCCAGGAGATTCTTCGGCCGATGCAGGCTGGTCCTTCCCCAGCAACTGATTGCAAGCATATACGCTAAAAAAGAACATAAATCTGCATTAAAATTCAAATTGGCCATTGGTATATGCAAGCAACTTACCTGGAAACTGGTCGTCCTCACATATCCTATCTGCAAAGGGTATCCTAACAAATAAAACTCAAATTGAATTTTATATTCAATTAAAGTTTTATTTGGCACGTATGCACATACACACATGCAGCAAAACAACACTACAATGCACTGGCTTAAACTACACAATCAACTTAACTAAACTGGCGGCACTGCTCGGTGATTGGGATGTGGAGTCTTCTCAGCTGCTACCTCTCGTTCCACCGGATGATTCCCTGCAAATAAAAACAAAACAACATTAAGTATAAACACTTATATATATATGTATAATTAACATTACCTCGCAGCCATTTTGCGTCACTCACTTCTTCGGCCTGTCGAACACACGTTCACTTGCACTTGGGAGAAATTGCTGAAACAGATGAATAATTTATTAATTAATATCTAATTATTAATAATTATCTCAGTATTCTTATTAGAATCCATACTCATCTCTTTCAGTTGCAACTTTTGCAATAAATTGCACTCTGCCTTTTCATCATATGTTCTTCAAACATATGTTTTTATCTGTGCATATCGATATGCATACCAGGGGTGCACAACCTCTCTTCGCGATTGTTTTTTTTTTTTTGCGATAGTTCTATAAGACAAAATGAAAAGAAAAACTTATTGGAATTCAAATTTATTATTTCTTAATCAACTATAAACTATATTATTCCAAATTAAAAATAATATTAGTAATATTGCAACTGAAACCACATATGTGATAGCACTTGTGATATTTTTGCACAAATATCGCTATGAAATGAATATATAAGAATATTAATGAAATGAAAGCTTACCATTTAATAAATAATTATTAGCTATAATAGTATATACTAGTAAATTTTTAAGCACTATTACTCACATTTTATAACTAATTGTAAATTCCCATTGCCATTTATGCATTTTTCGATAATTACCTTTTGTTTTGATTTATGCATCCCGATAAACGTATAAACGCACAGCTGCACAATCTCTCCTAAATTGCACTTGCGGTTTAATTTAACTTTTTAGACTGAAATAAAGGTGATAAAATGAAAAGAATTATAGATATAAGTTCAAGAATTTAATTAAAAGTTATATTAGCTTAGACAAGTATGGAGAAAATGACCGGACGATGTCCCGACTCTTCTCTCTAAATCCAATTAGCGGATCTTCTCACTGCTAAGTTTGTTGCGCATCTTATAGGTGTTCCTACAAATAGAATTAAAAGTAAAATGAATTAATTAATTGTATCAATTGTTATTGTTTTAATCTACATAATAATTATAACTAAACCTACTCAATAGTTTTAAACTAGTTATTTAAGCACATCAAATGTTATTCATTTTTGTTTTTGATCTGCTCTTTTGTATAATATGTAACGCAATGCTGCACAGCAATTTAATGTTGCACTTGCGACTATTTAAACAGCTCATGTGAGCAAGTTTCGGCTAATATCGACCTAAGTAACTTAAGGCGCCATGTAAATTCAAAAAAAATGCTAACGAAGAGTATTATATGAATAAAGAATATCTCTCTATTCTCTCCTCCTCTCCATTTAGCTGCTGGTCAGCTGTTATGGGCGAGAATGGAGGAAAGAGAGATTATTAATGTGTGTTCTGTCAAGGCATACAAACAGAAAATTATTAATATTTAAACTTACCAATCAGCAGCATAAAATTTGCATGTAATACACCCCCCACACCTTTTTTTTTTTTTTTTTTTTTTTATAGAAACCCAAAAGAGCAAGGCCCCCGGGGCTCCCTCACCTTCCCCTCGGATACTCTAACAAAATATCAAAAAAATAATAAAAACAAAAACACCCCAAAATAAAAATTATAATATTTTTTTTAATTATCTATATTAATTATAATTAATTTTTTGTAATTTAAACTATTTTTAGCTTATGCCCATATTGGAGAAAATGACCAGACTTTGTCTCGATTTTTCTCCATAATTCCAATTAGCTACTTTGGGCTAATTTTCTCAGTGCATCTTGTAGATGCTTTTTAATTGAAAAAAAAAAAAATTGAATTATACTAATTATGCTATCTATTACTATTGTTAAAATTTATATCTTATTTATCTAATTAGTCTTTTATCAGCTACTCAAGCACTTTATTGTTATTTTGAATTATCTTTAATTTGCTCTTTTTTTTAAGTATTTTGTAACATTAAGCTGCACTGTTATTTTTGTGCACTTATGGCCATTTAAATTTAATCATTTAATGAAAAGTTTCGACAAATATAGTCCTTTTTAGATTTTAATTATCTCATAGGCGCTATTTATATTTATAAAAAAATGCTATTGTGAAGTATTAAATAAATAAAGAGTATCCCCGTACTCTTCCCCTCATCATGCAGCTGCAGGTCAGCTGTTCATGTACGAGAATGGGAAGAGGCGGAGATCACTAATGTGTGTTCTTTGTAGACATACGAACAGAAAAAAGGCCAACTCGCCTACGTGGGATATTGATTGCCACTTATGCTGACGACGTCATCGTTCTTTCGGCTGACTCTCGACAAGCAGTCGCGCTCAGTCAGCAGCAGGCGTATATGGATAGTTTGGCTGAATGGGCGAGCAAGTGGTGCATTACAATTAATGCAAACAAGACTATGCATATCATGCATACGCTTAGAGTTATAGCGCCATATCAGGCTATTCGCATTGGCAACGAAACCATTGAAAATGGCACTTCTCATTCATATTTGGGTGTTACTCTAGATACGAAACTGCGCTTCTCACAACATGTCACTACGGTCGTTACTAGGGTCAGGGCTAGGCTTAAAAAGATAGATTGGCTCATTAACAAAGATAGCAAATTGACGCTGAGAACAAAAGTCATTATTTACAAACAGCTAGTTGCTCCACTTTGGCAATACTCGCTGCCTGTATGGGGAGCTCTGATATCTGAGGCGCAATTCAGCCGCATACGAGTCGTACACAACAAAGCTCTGAGAGCCATTTCTGGTGCTCAGTACTTTGTTTCGAACGCGCGCATCAGAGCTGAGTTGCAAGTCCTGTCTGCGGATGATATATTCAACAATCTCTGCGCCAAATACTATGATCGACTCCGGGTCCATACCAACAACTTGGCCAAAAACATTGCCTATGACCCGTTCATCCCACAGCGGATAACATTGGCAAGATACACGAGTCTCGTAAACACGCATTTGGCCAATGACATTGCTCTACGCACCCAGCGACTACTACAACGGGAGGCCGATGAAATAGCTGAAAGTAGGGAGCGATTCCTTCGCCGACGGGAGGCTCAGCAACACAACGAAGCTGCACAAGCAGCAGCCCAACAGCCGCAACGACTACCTGTCTTCGAGGGTATTGCGCCAATGCCGCTGCCACTACCACCACCATCACCTCTTGCTGCCTATAGGGTCCTATTTAGATCACATAGGGATCAGTCATAAAATTTGCATTTAATGCAATTTCCAATCAGCTGTCTTAACTTTTTGTAATTTAAGCTAATTTTAGCTCAAGCCCATACTTGAGAAAATGACCAGACTTTGTCTCGACTTTTCTCTTTTATTCCAATTGGCCACTTTGGGCTACTTTTCTCTGTGCATCTTGTAGATGCTTTTTAATGGAAAAAAAAAAAAAAAAAAATTGAATTATATTAATTAATGCTATCTATTACTATTGTTAAACTTAAACCTTACTTATCTATTTAGTCGTTAATCAGTTACCCAAGCACTTTATTGTTAATTTCTATTATCTTTAAATTGCTCTATTATAAGTATTTTGTAACATTAAGCTGCACTGTTATTTTTGTGCACTTATGGCCATTTAAATTTAATCATTTAATGAAAAGTTTCGATAAATATAGTCCTTTTTAGATTTTAATTATCTCATAGGCGCTATTTATATTCATAAGAAATGCTATTGTGAAGTATTAATTGAATAAAAAGTATCTCCGTACTATCTTCCCCTCGCCATGCAGCTGCAGGTCAGCTGATCATGTATGAGATGCGAAGAAGCGGAGATCATCAATGTGTGTTCTGCCTTGTAACATACGAACAGAAAAAAAGCTAGCTGTGGTGAAGATGGTGCATAAGCCTGGCAAGCCTACGCACCATGTTGCATCATACAGGCCAATAAGTCTTTGTCTGGCCTCTCTAAGATACTTGAGTACCTGATTTTGAGCCGTATGCTGGAGCAAGATACTCTTGTAAATGCGATTCCAAATCATCAATTTGGATTCCGCAAGGCGCATTCAGCTGAGCAGCAATTGGGTCGAGTTACTCAATTTATTATTAAAGCGTTTGATGACCGCAAATACTGCTCTGCTGTCTATATGGATATCAAGGAAGCCTTTGATCGAGTGTGGCATACAGGCTTGAAATATAAGCTCAAGATGCTATTGCCGGATGCTCTCTACCGCATCCTCTGCTGCTATTTAGTTGATCGACGTTTATTGTTGAGTGTCACGGTGGCTGTCGCTCAGGTATCAAGCAAATTCACGCTGGTGTGCCTCAAGGTAGCTTGCTCGGGCCAATCTTGTATAATATATACACCAGCGACATACCAAGGCCAACTCGTCTACGTGGGATTTTGATTGCTACTTATGCTGATGACGTCATTGTTCTTTCGGCAGACTCTCGACAAGCAGATGCGCTCAGTCAGCAGCAAGCGTATATGGATAGTTTGGCTGAATGGGCGAGCAAGTGGTGCATTACAATTAATGCAAACAAGACTATGCATATCATGCATACGCTTAGAGTTATAGCGCCATATCAGGCTATTCGCATTGGCAACGAAACTATTGAAAATGGCACTTCTCATTCGTATTTGGGCGTTACTCTAGATACAAAACTGCGCTTCTCACAACATGTCACTACGGTCGTTACTAGGGTTAGGGCTAGGCTTAAAAAGATAGATTGGCTCATCAACAAAGACAGTAAATTGACTCTAAGAACTAAAGTCATCATTTACAAGCAGCTAGTTGCCCCATTATGGCAATATTCGCTACCTGTATGGGGGCGCTCTGCTATCTGAGGCCCAATTCAGCCGCATTAGAGTCGTTCACAATAAAGCTCTGAGAGCCATTTCTGGTGCTCAGTACTTTATTTCGAACACTCGCATCAGAGCTGATTTGGAAGTTTTATCTGCGGATGATATATTCAACAATCTCTGCGCCAAATACTATGATCGACTCCGTGTCCATACCAACAACTTGGCCAAAAACATTGTGCCTACGACCCGTTCATCCCACAGCGGATAACATTGGCAAGATACACGAGTCTCGTAAACACGCATTTGGCCAATGACATTGCTTTACGCACTCAGCGACAACTACAAAGAGAAGCCGACGAAGTAGCTGAAAGCAGAGAACGATACCTTCGCCGACGGGAGGCTCAGCAACACAACGAAGCTGCACAAGCAGCAGCCCACCAGCCGCAACGACTACCTGTCTTCGAGGGTATTGCGCCAATGCCGCGGCCACTACCACCACCATCACCACTTGCTGCCTATAGGGTCCTATTTAGATCACATAGGGATCAGAGTTAAGTAATTACACTATTTAAACACTCAGTTACAATTACAAAATTTTATTTTCGGCACATATATATATATATGTGCAGCGAACATATCTGACGGCACTTGCGCCTAAAGATGCACATTTTAAATTAACTAAAAACTAACTTAAATATGCGCCCTATTGGCTGTGCAGCCCACTTGGCTAAATCTCCTTGCCGTAGTTGATGTGCTCTGCAAAGAAAAAATCAACATTAATAATCTTTTAATGTTTTTATTTAACTCTGCAAAATTCACTTACCTGCTAGTCATCTTGCAATTAATGCAATTCTGCTATTTCCAGTTTTGCGCCCCTCTGCACTTTGTATGGTAGCAGCTGTTTATATATAAAGATAATAATTAATTAATATTAATTATTAATATTTATTAATATCACTTTTTTCCATAATTGTTAACTTTTTTACTTTTGCAAAAAACTCACCTGCTAGTCAGCTTGCAGTTAATGCAATTTCGCTATCTTCAGTATTGCGCCCCTCTGCATTTCGTATAATAGCAGCCACATATATATAAAAAGATAATAATTAATTAATATTAATTATTAATATCATTAATTTCACTTATTTATTTATTAATATTTAAACTTACCAATTAGCAGCATAAAATTTGCATTTAATGCAATTCCCAATCAGCTGTTTTTTTTGTTTTTGTTTTGATTATGCACTCCAATAGGCACAAAGCCATGGGTGCATCGTCACTTACTCAATTGCACTGGCGATATATCGAATGAATATTAATGAAATCAAAACTGCTAAAATGAATTGTTAAACTATTTTTACTTAATTATCTATATTAATTATCATAAACTTTTTGTAATTTAAGTTAATTTTAGCTTAAGCCCATGTTGGAGAAAATGACCAGACTTCGTCTCGACTTTTCTCTATTATTCCAATTGGCCACTTTGGGCTATTTTCTCCGTGCATTTTGTAGATGCTTTTTAATGAAATAATTGAATTATATTAATTAATGCCATCTATTACTATTGTTAAACTTATATCTCACTTATCTATTTAGTCGTTTATTAGTTACTCAATCACTTTATTGTTATTTTGTATTATCTTTAAATTGCTCTTTTATAAGTATTTTGTAACATTA